TCTTGTTCACAGCAGCATCCGCAGCATCCACTGTAAGGCCTGGAGCACACTAGGTGCTACTAAATATTTGTTGACTAAATGAAAGACTTAATCAAGTGAATAGGCTCAGACAGGTAAGTCATTTTCTTAAGGTCACACAGTTTGTGTCTGGTGGAGCTGAAATTCACACCCAGGTTGCAGATGGCACAATTTGAACTCTTACCTGCTCCCGAGGCTGCTGGGAGGAGCTCGGGTCCCAGGCCTAGCACAGAAGCGGAGAATAACCCGAACTTCGGTGCCTTCACATTCCCCTCTGCAAAATGGGTTGAGCTGCTCAGTGGTTTTGGGAGCAGAGTTGGATTCTCTGCTGAGCTGGGGCCTGACCGCCAGGCACACAGTCTGGTGCGGGGTCTCTCTCTTCTTCCCTCCAGGTAACGAAGACATGGCTTCATGACCTGGCAGGGCGTGAGAGTGAGCCTCAGGCTGGTGGGGCAGAGGGACAGAGAAGACAGAGCCCCCAGGTGGGTGGCTATGGAGGTGGGTCACGGTCCACACTCCTGCAAGAGAGGAGGAAGTGGAGAGGTAGCGTACATCTGCCAATGCGGCCAGCTCGACCTGCAACATGTACCCCCAATCTGATGCCTCTCTACCCTCTGCCCCACGATCGCTCAGTTCCCCATCACCTTGCACTGGTACAGCCCATGGCCCCCTCCTTCCCCCGACACCCCCAGGCTACTCTCTGCCCAGCAGCCAGAGGGATTTTAAAAGAACAGACCTGCTTAAAACTGTCAACGGCTTCCCAATTCTACTTATAAAAAAATCCCAGGTCCTTCTGGTGCCCTGCACCTCATGCAGCCCCTTCTTCCTGCTCTAGCTTCTCAGCCGTGACCCCTCCTCCACCAGACCCCTCTCCCAGCACGGGCCCCTTCCGCCCCTGTACTGCCTGCGCTCGGTGCCCCTGCCCACCTCCGCCCGCCGTTCTCTGCCCGCACACTCTCCCCTCAGATCTTCTCAAGGCATTGGCTTCTCACCATTCGGGTGTCACCCACAGGACAGCACTCCCTGACCCCCTGCTGACAGTAGCCCCAGGCTCTCCCCATCTGCTCTTCCTGTTTCACTGCTGCATCAGACTTAGCAGGACTGTCTAAAATCTAAGATTACCTCATCTGTTCGGAGCTTATTCATTTCACGTCCATATCCTGCACCGGACTGTCAGTGCCATCAAGGCAGGCACCCGTCTGCTCACTGCTCTGACCCTGGGGCCCAGAACAGTGAGTGCCTTATGGCAGGTGCTCAATAAACGTTTGTTGAATGAATGAATGCATATTTAGCCTCCAGAGTGAGGCTCCCCTGGGGCATCCCTGCTGGGCAACTCAGCTCCCTCATGCCCCAAGGCCTTGATATGGCAATACTGGGAAGTACGGGAGGCAGGCGGGGAGGGAAGCTGGGGTGGCGCTGGAGCCCCAAGCCTGAGTGCCGCCTCTGGTGCTGAGCATCAGAGGGAGATGGCTGCTCCCACAGTGGGTGGCTTCCCGGGGAGGCAGCTCCTTATTAATAAGGGCCGTAGCACATGCCAGGAGGTGGCGGGGAGGGAGGCGGCTGTGACGGAAATGGAATAATGTGCTCCATCTCCCACAAGCTGGGCTGGACACGAATGGGGAAATGGCACCATATTTTCTAGCAGGCAAGAATGTCACTTTTTATTAGGGCTGGCTTATAAATGGGTCTGTGGCTGATCCTCGGCCCTCCCTGCGGACGGCCCCTCCATGGAGAGTTCTGCCCCAACTGAGTGGACCCTGCAAGCCAGCCAGGGGCGGGCAGAGGGATGTCCCCTTCCCATCTCTGGCCTTGGCCGGCCCGGTCCCCACAGAGGCCACAGCTGACAGGGGAGCAGCCTGGGCCCCGGGACTGAGGAGCGCGAACTTCTACCTCTGGAGGTGGAAGTGAGGATAAAAATAAAGCTGAATATGGGGGGAAGGAGAAGGAGAGACAGAAAGGGTGCAGGCTGCTTGGAGGCAGTCGGGGCGTGGGCAGGAAGGCCTGATGAGGACCCCGCTGGACACTTGGCCCAGCCCTGGCCCTGGAGTGGGCAGGGGCTTCGAGGAGCCCGCAGAGCTGCTCACAGAAGGAGAGTTGAACTGTTCTCTCTCTCGACAAGAAAAGAACCCCTGCCACTGTTATTTTAGGGGAAACACAGCATCCTGTCACCTCCTGAGGCTCCTTTGTCCCCAGCACACAGTACCTCTCAGTGGCTGCCATGCAGCATGCTGCTGACAGCTTCCCCCCACCTGGAGGCTGTGGCCTCTCTCCCTGACCCAGATGCCTCGACAGGACCCCTCACCGGCCCAGGTCTGTGGCCAACCTGGTTCCCCTCTCCCCAGCCTGCCTGGAGCCCCTGTCCGCTCCCCTATGCCCCACCAAGCCCCTCCTTGCTGGGCTGTGACCCTAGCTTCGTCTCCATCTTCACCCCCAGCCATGACTCTCACCCGGCCCACTGCTGCCCAGTACTGTCCTGTCTCTGAGCCCTGGTCCCCTGTCCTGAGTTCCGTGCCCCAGCACACGTCTACGCTTCCACTACTTAGGGTCTTTGAAAATCCTTCAGGTGCTCTCCATCCATCCCACAGCCCAGCCCTGATCCTAAAACCCAGACAGGACCCTCCCCCCTACAGCCTGGAGTTGGCAGGGAGGCCTGGAGGCCTGCTCAGTCAGCCTGGAGGTGGCAGAGAATGTCATTAGCAGGTTCCTAACTGAGCCACACTTCCCCAGCTGTGGGGACAGCTTGAGCTGTGCCAGAAAACATCATGCTCCTTACATCTCACTCCTTGGGGTGGTGCCTGAGACCCACCCCCCCACGTACTTGTGGACTGTCCCAGCCCTCCGGCTCCTTCCTGCCGCCTCTCGCTGTTGCCCTCCTCTGTTGGGTTGGGGGAGTGTGCCTAGGGGTGTCCTTGCATGGCCTTAAGAATCTTTAGCTCTCAGGCCCCTCTCTTCCGTTGAGATTTCTTCTCTGAGTCCCTCCACTAGCTCCCGCGCCTCCATCCAACTCTGGGATAATCCTCATGACCTTACGAGGTGGGACCTACTGTTATCCCCATTGTCAACCCAGGAAACGGAGGTTCAGAGATGTCAGGGTCACAGAGCTAAACACTGGCAGAACCATGGTTGGGATATAGGTCTGAGTGGCTCTGGCCCTGAGTTCCCAAGGCACAAGTTGTCCCATACTTGATCAGGGACCCCATGTGGGCATTTCTAGGTGGTAGGGCCTGCATGAGAGGTGCAGGTGGAGAAGCTGGAGCAGTCTCTGGGGTCAGACACTGTGGTCTCCTCCCTCATGACCCAATCTCCTCCCGCAGGCCCCACCTCCTCAGACCATCTGAGGATTAGGTTCAAACGTAAATTTGGGGGGGGGGGGCACGTTCAGTCTATAACATGTAGTGTACATATAGTGTAATGGTAGTGCATGTATATGATTAGTGCACATATGGTGCATATATAATGTACATAGTGCGTATGTAGTGCATATACGTGATTAGTGTATATATATAGTGTATATATAGTGCATATGTGCTGTGCATAGTGCATGTAGAGAGTATACGTAGTGCGTATATGTGATTACTGTATATATAGTGTATATATAGTGCATATGTGCTGTACATAGTGCATGTAGAGAGTATACGTAGTGCGTATATGTGATTACTGTATATATAGTGTATATATAGTGCATATGTGCTGTGCATAGTGCATGTAGAGAGTATACGTAGTGCGTATATGTGATTACTGTATATATATTGTATATATAGTGCATATGTGCTGTGCATAGTGCATGTAGAGAGTATACGTAGTGCGTATATGTGATTACTGTATATATAGTGTATATATAGTGCATATGTGCTGTGCATAGTGCATGTAGAGAGTATACGTAGTGCGTATATGTGATTACTGTATATATAGTGTATATATAGTGCATATGTGCTGTGCATAGTGCATGTAGAGAGTATACGTAGTGCGTATATGTGATTACTGTATATATAGTGTATATATAGTGCATATGTGCTGTGCATAGTGCATGTAGAGAGTATACGTAGTGCGTATATGTGATTACTGTATATATAGTGTATATATAGTGCATATGTACTGTACATAGTGTATGTAGAGAGTAAATGTAGTGCACATACATGATTAGTGTATGTGTAGTGCATGTATAAGATTAGTCCATATATAGTGCACATATAGCGCACATATACTGTAAATAGTGTACGTGTAGTACACATGTAGTGCACATATAGTGCATATATATACATAGTGTACATATAGTGCACATGTAGTGTGCATACAGTGCATATATAATGTACATAGTGCGTGCGTAGTCCATATCCACGATTAGTGTGTATATGTAGCGCCTATCGGCGCCGCCTGGTTCCCAGGGCAGGCACTGCCATTTCCACACTGGCCCCTGGGGGGCGCACCGCCCACCTTACCGGAAACTTCAGGGGAGCAGGCGGCGCCACTAGACCGCATGGCCGCAGGTGAAAACTTTGCTTTTTATTTAGACTAATTTATTATTGAAACAACTTGAATCAGCTTCAAAGTAAGTTAAATGAGAAGAGATCGTCTCCCCTAGTCTCATAAATCAAGGGGATACAAAGAAAGCGGGAAACAAAGAGATGGCGGAAGCCTGGAAACAGATGGTCTCCTCCTCGGGAGAGGGGCAGGTCCCGGGCCGACGCGGTGCCCTGGGAGCGACTCTTTTCCTTCCTCCAGCTGAAGAGCCTGGTCCAGAAGGCCGTCCCTCCTCCTGCCCGGCCGTCGCCTGGGAGAGGCTGGCGTCTTCATGGTGCGGCGGATTGCAGTCTGGGGACCCTCGTCCTTCTCCCGCGGGCGCGGGCGTTGCAGACGCCCGGAGGCACCTTCCCCGACCCCGGCGTTCCTGGGGCCCTGGGGGAAGGGGGACATCTCTGTGCTGGGGCGAGTTGGGGCTGGAGTTGGGGGGGTTGGGGATTGGAGTTGGGGGTGGTCTCTGGTTCCTGGACGCCTGTGGAGAGACGTGGATTTGCACGTCTGGTTGCTAGGCCGTCTGAGGCTGCTCAGTGCATGGCTACTGTGCTGTGTCCCCGCGTGTGCGTGTGTGCGCACGAGCGCCTGAGCATTCAGCGGGGCCTGACCTGGAATATCAAATCCACTCTGGATAAAAGAGAGCTGCTGGCTGCTGTTCTGTTTCCCCTAACTCCCGGGGCTGCCTCGCCTTTGTGCCGAGCTGCTTGCAGCTAGGAGAGATGTGGGGGCTCCCTTTCCCTCCAGGCCTGGAGATGCCACTCTCCCACTCCATCTGCTGCCTGGACCCACGGCAGGGACAGGGGCATCTGCAGTCGGTGAACATTAGGGGCCAATTGCCAACTGAAAGATGGGGGACCCAGGAGAGTGTGAGGTGGAGACCCAGGGGGACACACCAGGAGGGAGGCAGGTGGGGGAGACACTGTAAAGGAGTAGAAAGTACCAGGGACAGGGAGGCTGACTGAGAGAGTGGCTGGCAAGGAGTAAGATCTGCAGAGAGTGGCAAGAAAAATCTAAGGCTGGGAAGGTGAGAAGCAATTGAGAGTGGGGCAGATGTGGAGCTGCAGGGGCAAAGGGACATAAACAGGGTGAGGCAGACAGTGGGAGAGTTGCCTCCAGCAGGCGCTGGGACCTAAGGGGAGGCGGAGCTGGTGCTTCTGATCCCTGCCAGGGCTTGTGACACACGAGAGATAGGAAATGTGCTAATTTGTGATTTCAACCAGGTCCTCCAGCGTGTCTGCAGAAAAGCAGACCCCACTAAACGTCTCTCACCGTCTGTCATCTTCATTTCGCTTTTGTCTTCAGAATAAAGAGAATTAGAAACTCCTGAGGTGGGTTTCTACACAGCTCGCTTTCGCTGTCTTTCCCTTCCTCCTGCTTTCTTTGTTATTCTCCACTCTGGGTGTCTTTGTGCCCCAGCCACTGGGTCTGGCTGGGGGCGGTGGCCTCTTTGACCCAGCATGCTGGGGTCCCCATCCCGGTCTCTGTCTTACTGTCACCTGGAGGGTCTGGGTCTCTCGCCGCCTTACCCCCTCACCTCCGCCCTACCCCACCCTCCTGATGAACCCTCAGCCCCTCTCTGCAAACCGCCCCCCACCCACCGCAGTCCCGCCTTGGCCTGACGGATCGGATCGGATCGGATCGCTGCTCCTGATCCCCTCTTCTTCCAGCTGTCTCCCGCTCAGCCTGCAGATTGACAGGGCCCATAAATCACTGTGGCGAGGCGGGGGGGCGAAGTGCTGACACAGCCCCAGCCTCGGGAGCTGGGGTTCTCGGATTGCGGCGAACTGCTGGGGCACGGAGCCCGTGGCCTCTCTCCCTTCCCAGTTCAATGACGTGTCATGGTCACAGTGCCTGTGTCGGGAGCTCCTGAGCTGGCCCTGTCCAGCTCCCTGGAAGGTGGGACAAGAAGAAATAGGTCAAATATGAAGCGAGGGAGTCCTGGGGCAGGAAGTGCTTGTGTGTGTAAGGAACAGCCGGGGTGGAGGGGCGTGGTAGGTGTGGAGTGAAGGAGGGGAGGGTGGCCGGAGGATGTAGCCTGTTGTACCTGCTGTAAGGACTTCATCTGTTGCCCCAGGAGATGCAACGCTCTTGCAGAATTTTGATGGTGGAATTCACATGCACCAGTAGGCCCTTTGGTTCCGACATCCCAGAGGAATTGAAATTCTGGCTGCTCCTACCTATTGGGGACCTGGAGACCAGCAAGTCTGAGGCTCCGTGTCCTGCATTCCCCTGTCTGTCTCTGATCTGTAGAATGTATGGCTTTTTAATAATAATTTTAAAAAGCCCAAATCCTTTATTTCCATAAATGGATGGAGGACTTTAATGCATTCAACCTTGCTCCAACTGGCAGCTTCATCTTTGTTTTGTAAATTGGCAATGAGGCTCCAGAAGGTTCTGTGCTGGCTGGAGGTCATACAGGCCATATGGTGTGGAAGAAAGGGCTTTCGTTGACCATTGATTTATGAGCAGCTTTGTAAAGGTATATCTTTCAAAATTACATGCATGCATACACACAGAACCCCGACGCCCAGAGTGACACAGTCACAGGGTCCTTCCCTAACGGCCATCCATAAGGTATCACAAATGCTGAGAAAGTGAACACATGGCCTGAGCGCCACCATCTCCCAGGCTGCAGCCCTGGCAGACGCCCCTAATCAATCACAGGGCTCCTTCATGCTGAGCTCATGCAACCTCAGGATTCTGGAAAGCCCGCTTGTGGCTGGTTCATAAAAGGAAGCATATTGCCATTTCTGCGGCAGGGCCAGGCTGGCCTGGGCGTGGGGGACAGCAACAGCCCAATCTCGGGACTTGGGACCCTGTTCCTTGAACTTGTGGCAGCTTTCTCTGCCTGATTTATAAACTGACCACAACTCTAGTATATGAGACAGAATCAGGGCAGCCTCAGAGGGCACTGCCTGAGATCCGGCTTTCCAGCCACTGGGCCCCCTGCCCTCTCCGCAGGTGTTCAGAGTGACTGGGGTTGCTTGATTCCCTCGTGGGATTTGTTCCAGCTGGCAGACATGGATCAGGCTTATGACAGGTGAACCCAGACAAGGGTACCTGCTGTTTAATGAGCTGGAGATGGAAGTGGCTCCTGAAAGCAAGTCCTTCCTTTGGCTCAGGTGTGCGGATCAGATATGGAACCAGGACAGCCGCTTCGCCAAGCAGGGTAACCAGAAGGAAATGAGCAAGGGTCATCTGACAGAGGAGGATAAGGATGGGCACTAGAGGGGGGAGGGAAGGGGAGGAGAGAGGAGGGGGGAGGGGAGGGGAGGAGAGAGAGGGGGAAGGGGAGCGGAAGGAGAGAGCAGGGGGGGAGGGGAGGGAAGGAGAGAGGAGGGGGAAGGGCAGGGGAGTAGAAAAGAAGTGGAGGTTAGGGGAGGAGAGAGGAGGGGGGAGGGGAGGGGAGGAGAGAGGAGGGGAGGGGAGAAGAGGAGGAGTAGGAAAAGGAGAGAAAGGGAGGAAGGGGGAGGAGGCGGGGTGGGGGCGAAAGGGAGAGAAAGGGAGGAGGGAAATAATGGGCCAGCCTTTGGCCAGACCCAAGGGCTCTGCGGCAGGCTCCCCAACCTCTAACATCTTTTCATATGGGATTCATTTTCCCACAGGCTCCCAGAGGTCCTGAGTGGGTGTTTCTGGGGCCTGTCAAGAGCAACAAGCAAGGCCGAATGATGTGGGGAGACAGACAGCCCTGGGTTCCAATCCTCCTCCACTCACTCGCCTCCGTCTCCTCATCAACAAAATGGGCTTCGTATTTTCAGGAGGTGGGATGTGACCAGCCTTTCCCCACCCTGTCACATTCTGCAGCTGAGCTTTGGGCAAGTGCTAAACTTGGCATTTGACCTTTATCTGTGGGGTGCCAGCGTCTCTCTCTCACGTGGATCTGAACTCGGGTGGGGAGGCAGTGAGGTTATTTATTAGGATCCATTAAATCTTAACACACCCCATGAGCTGGATGTGAGGATGGAAAGAGTGGTGGTATACTGTCCAGCTGTAAGGTCTGTTTCATCTGTCTCTCTATCCATAGCATCTATATCCATAGCGTCTAGCTATACTATCGCTCGCTCTCTAACATCTCTACTGTCTACACGTTAGGACCAGCACGGATCGGCACTCAGTCCAATTTCACTTGATGGGTCCCTCCCTTCCAGGCTCTTCCTGGTGCTGTTGTGGAGAGGGGCAGGGAGGACCTGAGAGCATCCCCCTGCCTTCCTGGAAGAATGAAGCCGCTTCCCGCAAGCACGGACAGAGGCAGTGGCTCCCTGCTCCTCACCTGTGACTTGGAACAAGTAATTTGCTTCCTGTGCAAAACCAGAGTTCAGACAGGCCAGGTGGCCCGCTTCTGCCACCACAGCAAAGCGTGAGCTCTGGGAAGTCAGCAAGCTGGGCCTGAGGCTCGGGGCTCTGAGGGGGTGGGTGGCAGGATGGTCTCCCAGGAGGTGAGGGAAGCGGTGCTAACTCCAGTCGCTATGGCAACCGTCACCCTTGATTTACGGAGGCTGCTCTGTGCCAGGCATGGTGCTGGGTGGGATGGGTGCGTCCCCATTACTATCCTATCAATAATAAAAGTCATGAGAAGGCTGTCAGTCTGTGGGTCCTCATAGAAGCTCTTGGGGCTAGATGCATTTCACATTCTGAAGTTTTTCCAGGTTTTAGAAATATAATGTTCTATATATTACAAACACGTCAACATATTCATATTTCTGTAGCAAAATATCTATGACTAGTTCCAGCCAGTGGATAAAGACCATTAGTACCTCCAAGGTCAGTTCAGTTCAGGTTTTGCTGCCAAATGAGTTTCGAAGAGCTTTTTGGTTTTCAGAGCTTTGGGGAGGTTGGGACTGTCCACTTACTGAGCTCTGGGCAGGCACTGGGCCAAGCACGTCCACTGGATTAATACATTAAATCCTCGTAACAGCGCTATGAGGTTGGTTCTGTTTTTATTATGCCAGCTTTACAGAAGAAATTCAGGCACAGAGAGGTTAAATAACTTGCCCAAGGACACACAGCTAGTAAGTGGCAGAACTTGGATTCAAAATGAGGTCTGTTGAGAGCCTTCCATTGTCACATAGTTTACAATCCAGTGTTTGTGCATGGGGAGGGGGACATTAACAAAGAGATCATGACAACATGGTGGAATAAGCTCCAGAACCAGGAGTCCAGGTCCTGAAAACCAGAGGAGGGGCCTAACCCAACTTGGGGAGTTGGAGAAGAAGACCCAGAAGAGGTGGCATCTACTGGAGACCCAAGGGGTGGGTAGGCACTAGCCAGGCATTGGTGGGGAAAGGAAAAGTATTTCAAGCAAAGGGAACAGAATAAATAGCAAATGGAAAGCCCTGGAGGAGAGAAGAGCATTAAAAGTCAAGAGAACATGGGGCTCGCCCCGTGGCCTAATGATTCAGTTTGGCATGCTCTGCTTCAGTGGCCCAGGTTTTGTGGGTTCGGATCCTGGGCGCAGATCTACACTGCTTGTCAGCCATGCTGTGGTGGTGACCCATGTATTAAATGGAGGAAGATTGGCACAGATGTTAGCTCAGGGATAATCTTCCTCAGTAAAAAAAAAAAAACAAGTCAAGAGAACAGAAAGGAGTTGCAGCCCGGAGTGGGATGCAGAATACGGGCTGAAAAGGTAAGGGCCAGCCTTGCAGGACCTGGGGGGCCGTGCTGTTTCCATCTGGCTCATCCTCCCCCTCCCCCTGTGGGATCCCATGATGAGAGGAGGTCAGACCTTTCTGCTCTCTGGACCAGCAGACACGAAACTCAGGGACAAAACTATTTCCCAGACGCACAGGGGTCCGAGTGTGCAGCCGCAGCCCCTCGGAGGCCGAGGTCCTGGCTTGGGGGGAGGGTCTCAGCGGGCACACGCAGAGGATTCTTGATCTTTGACTGAGAGCCTGGTGAACCTCTTAGCTGCGGCGTTACCAGGCGAGCAAACCCTCCTAGTGCTGAGACGGCGCAAGCGGCTGCTCTCCCGGAGACGGGGCCCCAGCCTGACAGATGAAATCTCTACTGCAATGATTTTTATCTGGGGGCGTGTGTGTGAGCATGTGTGTATGTGAGTGCGTGCACATATGGGCCAAGGTGGCAGCCGAAACCCCAGAAAATGTGGCTCATGAATATTCCACGGCGGGGCCCGCCACACTTTGCAGTCATCGATTATTTATACGTGAAATAACGAAAGCTTCATAAATAATGAAAGTGCCTGGGTCCCAGCTGCAGCTTCCGCTTCCCTGTGTCTCATCCAGGTGAGACGGGCTCTGCAAGGAAGTGACATTCAAAACTACCCTTCTCGCGTCAGAATCCAAGTCCTTCACAGGAAGGAGGCGTGTGTGGCACAGGAGCGTGTCTGTATGTGTATGTGTGTGTTTGTATGTACTCATGTGCACACCGAGGGTGGGGTCTGCACACACAGGGCTGAGCAGTTGGGTTGTCCACACTGCGGACTTTACAAGAAGGCTCCCATCGACAGAGAGAAAGGCTTTGTATTATTTTAAACACAAGCTGGGAAAACATCAAATATCCCTGGTTAAGTTCAGTGCCCACCTGCCCTCTGGGGCTGGTGGCTTGGAGGGTACCAGTGTCTGATTCCGGAGGGGAAACCGTTTTAGGAGCTCTGCCCTGTGTTACCTGGGTAGATACACAGCAGGTCTTACAGAGACAGAGGAAGCCTCGAATCAACCTTGGCCCCTGAATCCTGTACTGCGAGAGTTCAGGGGGGCTGAGGGGGTGGCAGGTGCACAGGTGTGCCCATGGGAATGGAGACCCGGGGTTGAAGTGAAGACCTACCCCAGATTCCTCACCACCCACCAGACATTTGCCGACAGCTTCTGTCTCCGAGTGACTTCACTCTTCAGGCCTCTCCCCTCCACATCTCCAGCCTAAGCCACCTTTAAAGCAGGTGTAATTAATGTGCCACTCTGCAGAGACACTCATGCAGCTCAATCATTTCATAAAGTTGCAGAGCTGGTGCGTAGGAGAGCCTGGGCCTGTCCGAAGTTGCTCCCTTTCCAAGCCTTCGAGATGCAGGAATTGTCTGTCATCCGGTTAGCACCGGGCCAGCCACGGACAGCCGCATCCTGAAGGGTGCACATTTTCTCCTTGACCGTGAAAGGGGGAAGCGTGTGGACTCTATTGATTGGGGCATTGAATTACAAAAGAAAGCTCAGTGTGGCAGGTGTTCTCCTCCCTGGTTGAATAGAATCACTAGGAGCTTTTGAAAAATTTTTGAATTAAACTTTTATTTTGACATCACTATCGGTTCACATGCAGTTGTGGGAAGTAATGCAGAGAGGTCCTGGTACCCTTCCCCTTCCAGTGCTGACATATTTCAAAATTGTAGTATAATATCATGCCAAAAAATTGACATTAATGTAATCCACTGGTCTTATTCGGATTTCTTCAGTTTTGTGTGCACTAATTTGTGCGTGTGTTGATGCAATTTTATCACATGGGTAAGTTTTCATATGCACCTCCGGTCAAGAAGCAGAAAAGTTCGCTGGTGCTAGGATCCTGGTGTTGCCCTTTTATAACCACGTCAACGCCAATCCCATCCCTGCCACACCCCAGCCCCATCCCTGACCCCTGCCAATCGCTAATCTGTCCTCTGCCTCTATAATTTTGTTGTTTCGAGAGTGTTATATCAATGGAACTGTACAGTGTGTAGCCGTTTGGGACTGGCTCTGTTCGCTCAGTGTAATTCCCTGAAATTTCATCCTAGTTGTTGGCAGCGTCTTGAGTTTGCTCCTTCCTGTTACTGGGTCTTCTTCCCTTGTAGGGATGTTCCAGTTTGTTTGGTGAAGGACAGCTGGCTGCTTTCCAGTTTGGGGCTATTGCAAATAAAGCTGCTATTGGGGTTCTTTTTAAACACTCAGCCAAACAGACCCCTCCCCTGGAGGTCGTGACGCATAAACTGGTGGCTCTAGGGTGGGGCCTGGGATTGTGTCAAAACGTCTGTGCTGTCGCTGGCCAGGGTGGGGCAGGAACGTGGAGTTAGGCGAGTAGAGTTTGGTTTCTATAGGATCCTGACCATGCCCCTCAAGTGTAAAACAGAAATATTTTTGTCAGAATAAAGATCTGTGGACGGGATGCACAGCTCTGGATTTCTCTGGGTTACTTCTGTCTTCTTGGTATATGAGTAGAATAGGCCGTTTGGGTGTGGGAGAAGGTTCTGGTCTGGCTTTTGGAGGACGTGTGTCCCACCCACCACTCTCTCTCTTTGTATTGTGCCTTTTATCTCGTTATTGCCTCACTATGGCCTCAGTTTCTCCATCTGCAATCTGGGAACCGTATTTCACTCCTGTGGCTGTCTAAGATGGAAGGAGGCAGTAGTGGCTGTGAAGTTCTTGGGGTTTCTCCAGCACAAAGACCTGGTTCCTCTGAAGGAGGGCCGGGAGCTTCTGCCTCTTAGCTGCCTGGGAGTTGGAAAGGCTGGGAGGATCCCGGGAGCAGCTGGTCCCTGCTGGCTGCGTCCCTCTGCAGCCCATGCAGCTCAGATGGCTCAGATGAGGGCTTGTCACGTGCAGCAGGCTCTGTCCCCGAATCTCAGAAAAGAGACAACTTCAGGGTGAACTAATGAGGCCAAATTGCACACACCTCCTCTCTCTACCCCTCCCCGCCTGAGGGCCTCTTGCCCCACTTCTCTCAATCCCCTTGGCGCTCCCTCGAGAAGGGAAGTGGGACCCTCTCTCTGCTTCCAGACCAAGGCTGGAATTATTTAATGCCAAATCAGTAAAAGTGTCAGCAGCTTGCAGCTTAACTGCTAAGAGGAATGATTCATAACCCCACGCCAGGCACCGAGTATTTCCTCCCCATCCCCATGGCCCACCCCTGGAGAGGAAGGAGATAAATTACTGCCATTGCTTTTTATGGTACATATAATCGGGAGGCAACATGGAGACTCGACTCATCTCAAAGTCATTTACAATGAATTATTCATTTGGCTGAAGAAGTCTTCAATTGGAGGGGGGAAATAGCCTCTCTACTCTCTGGCTTTGGGCTGCCCTCTCCACAGCTGGGGAGGGAATCCTGGGCTGGAAGATCCAGGTTCCCCTTGGCAACCTCCGGACCTCAGAATCCTGGAGCGTGGTGGGGGGCAGGGGGAGGGTGTTTGGGTGGTGGGAACCCACTTACCTGATCAGCTTCTGGAGGATACTGCTGGGGTCTGGAAGTATTTGTCTCTGCTCAGAGGGGACCACAAGTCCTTGTTCGCATCCCTCTCTTTTTCCCTCCCTCCCTCCCTCTTCTCTCCATTCTTTATTTCCTTCTATAAACATTTATTAAGACTCTACTAACATGCACCATGTCAGTCAGGAGATGTAGGCTGTGGTGCGGTAACAAACATTCCCCCAATTTTAGTGGCATAAGGTCGCGAGGCGTATTTCTCACTCAAGTTTCTTGTTATTGCAGGTCGTCCTGGGGCTCTGCTCTATGTCATGCTCACTTTGGGAAGCAGGCTGGTGGAGCAGCCACCATCTTGTATGTTCCTGTCATATGTATCTCCTCTTAAAGCTTCCACTCAGAAATAACATGTCACTTCTATTTCATGGGCCAAAGCAAGTCACATGGCCACATCAGCCTCCAGGGGGCAGGAAAGTGTCACATTACCATGCGCCCCAAAGGGGAGAGAAAAGGAATATTTGTGAGTGCCCCTGAGGACTATCTCACAGGCACTGCCTCGGTCCTGGAGCATGACAGTGAAAGGGACGTGGTCTTTTCTCTGCCTGAGTCCATGGTCTAGTGCAAGAGGCAGGTGGAAGAGGCTGATGCAGTCAGTGGTGATCCAGGGGGCTCAGCGCCAGGAAAGGGGTCTTCTTGGAACTCGCAGGAGGCAAGGTGGTATGGGGTCTGGCGTCAAAGAGTCTGACCCCTTGGGGCTCTTTGATTGTAGGCAGGTAAATTCATTTCTCTGCGCTTCAGT